TTTAAAATAAAGTCCTTAAATCCTTAGTCGATTCGTATTTACTTTTACTCCATGTAAAGTACTGCCTTCTAAATACTAGTATAGTCAGTACTTCTTAAGCTTTAACGTAAATTGAGTCAGCTGGGATCTTGTTAACTGCAGGTTCCGATTCAGGAGCCTGGGAGAGGCCTGAACGTCTGCATTTCTGTAATGCACTGCAGCAGGGCCAGTTGGCCTGTGGGTGGTTAGACCCATGCTAGTCTCTGTCCTCTGAGTTTGCCTGTCCTTGAACTTGAAAAGCCCAAATCAGCATTTTCCACTCCTCCCTGATCCCAACCCCTGAAAATACATAAAATAATAATACTAATTCACTCCTGCCTAAAAACCTGGCTTTATTTTGTCTCTGTGTGGCAGTCTCTATTGTGGACAGGCACACGATATGGGCTAACTTGGGTTTTGAAAAAAGTCAGACATGGTGGCTGTTACACGCATTCCCTTTCATGGGAATGTTCATATTCATATGGGAGAAGCAGAAAAATCATTTGCTTTGGGGAAAAAAGTCCAGCCAATAATTAGGTTGCATCTAAATCCCTGAAGAGTCAGCCCTGAAAACTGCTAAGATCAGAAAATAGAAGAGGGTCCCCTGTGCTCTCTGGATTTAGCCCACACATCAAACTTGATCCCTTCCCTTCTCCCTTCACTCCCAGCTTCCGCTGCTGAGTGCAATGGCAGCAGACCCAAATCAACAATTAAATCCCCCCTTTGTTTGTGTGGCAGATGACAAATGCATGGAGGACATCTTGTGTTTCCTAGGCAGGCAGGGCACTTACTTTGATTGATGCTGCGTTGTGGAAAAAAATGAGCTGGGAAGGAATTACAATGGAGGGCCTGCAGACTGGAAGGGGATATACTAATTAGTCCTGCATTAAGCAGTCGGCTTGCATTGGTGATGAGCTGCCTTCAGGAGGAAAGTGTAGGGGTTATTGATGCAAAACAGCATGGAAAGCATTATGCCAGGTAGCTGTGCATTAGTTTTGTTAGGAAGTATAGAATTTAGTAATTAAGAAAGAAATACTTAGGCTACTGTATTTTTTTTAACACCTCCAAATATATTGGGCAGACCATGCTTTTTAACTCTACACGGTCACATAGACAAGCTGGAAGTCCTTCTCCCATTCTGAAGTAACCCTTCCAGTTTCCTCATCCCTCAGGGCCCCAGGGAGGGAGAGCTGCCTCTGTCCCATACTCTCTGGACTCTTTTCTCTCAAGTCCCACAGCTCCAGAGCCCTGGGCCTTGGAGGAAGTTTTCCTTCAGGCCGCTCTTTCCAGGTTTTAGAGAGTTGTTGTTGGTTTGACCAGGGAAGAACCCTAGGGCTATGGCAAGACAAATTCAACATCTTCTGTGGACAAAAGGCTGGATGAAAAGGTACATGGAGAGTTTCTTGTCTGGTTTAGCATTCGGGATTTGCTTTTCTATTTCCCAAGCAACTGGTAGAGGTGGAGTAGTAGATGGCTGTTCTGTTCCATTCACATCGAAGAGTGACATTGATGCTCTGGGTAACTGGAAAGTGCGACTCCAGGTGACAAGACTAGACAGGACTAGTCATCTTGCGGTCGATACCTCCTGAGCAATGGAGAACTGGAGGGTGATAGGCAAAGATGCTCAAATAATTGCTGATATGAATGGTTTAATATTCAAACCTTGGCATGTTGATTTGGTCAATTTGGCCTAAAGAATCGATGAGATGGGTTCAATGACTTCTGTGAGGTGAAAAAAAGAAAAAAATCATAAGAGGATTTTTTTCACAGTGTGAAAAAAGAGGACCTAAAACTCCTTTGGTTTTAGAATACCAGGATAATTTCACTAACGCACCATATTGGTATAGATAATGTGATTTTTAGTGATTCTTTATGTTGAAACGCAGTGAACTATCAGGCGTCTCCTGCTAACCTAATGGGAGAGTCCATGGTCCAAAGTTCTTGGTTCAATTTATCGAAGTTGTCAAATGCTGTTGCAGCTGAGATTTCCTTTTACTTTTCTCATTCTAGAGACAAGTTCACCTAAGGATTTGCAGATGCCTATGCTAGGAAAAAGATATATGTGATAAAGATAGCGTTCTGAGTTACCAAAGTCTACTGAGTCTTCTTCCAAAATTTTATCCATAAACTGGAGCACAAGGCAGATATCAAAGTATCAGAAATATCATCAGACAGCTAAAAACTGTCTTTCATGGACAGCACCAGGAATTGTGCCAATAGCTCTAGGAAGAGAAGCTAAATAGTTAATGTGGTTTATTTTTTAACCATGCCTTTGTTTTAGAATTCTATCTTATTCTTGAGCTGATTTGATGTCACCATGACCTTCACCCGCCAGGAAGGCACAGTTGAGGCATCTTCGGTAACAGCCTGGGGCTGTGGACAAGGGAGACGCTGTGCTGGCTCTTTGCCTTTTTTTCACAGTGTTTACACGACCAAGACTTATTACATGCCCTGTCCTTTTGTTACTGGGCTTGCTTTAGTTAGAGAATTAGGTAAACATGGGACATTCCATCACACAATTTTAGACTCAATCTTACTTTATAATGATGTTAATGTTTATTGTACAGGGCGAGATGCATTTGTATATTTTAGCATTTTTTTTTTCGGTCACAGAATGCAAAACCTGATATTGGCATCCGTTTGGTGTGTGTGTGTGTGTGTGTGTGTGTGTGTGTGTGTGTGTGATTGAAGATATTAAGCACTATAAGAACGATGAAATTTCAATCTGATTAGGATCAAAATTCTTCAGGATCAAAACACTCCTTTTTCTCCCCCTACAGTTTTACTAATTGTGTGCTACTTGACATTGTGAAGTTATTCCACAGCATGATAGCTAAATATGTGCAGTGCATTTTACTGTGCAGAATTATCAGCTCATTCTATTTGTTTTTCACGTGTTTAAGGTTATTAAAAGAATTTTAAATTAGAAGTCATGTGTATGAGTTGAAAGAGTGAACTCAATCATTGTTAGTAGGCCAAATCATAAAGCAATAGCCAGTATGTCAATATCAAGTAATGAAAAAAAAATCACAGAATTTGAAAGCATACCTTCTCTGTTTATTAGCTGGCAAGATACCAGAAAAATTAGGAGTCTACCACAATAGTGAGTGGCAGAGTTGTTTATTTTCAGCACTCTCAAATTATTCCGGTTACTGAAAATGAGATAAAAGTAGATCGGGAAGAATGGCATCAAACATATTTTGTCAGAGACCTTTGCTTTATGGGAAGGAATGAACTGCCCTAGGCCACTGTACTCGAGGAATTGTGTTTCTTCCAGCTGTAAATCAAATCCCAGAGAGAAAGCATGATGTTTTCCAAATAATAACCGAGGAAGACAAAGTTCTTTTTTGTCAGCGTCAGGTTTCTGAATTTAGACCTCAATTAAGATTCCCAAATGAAAAAGCACCACTCTCCCCCTACGACAGTGTCCTACAAACAATACTCATTTTTAAAGTCTGGCTCTCTGGCATATATTGGTCCAAAAATATATCTTCAGCTTCCTCTAAAGATTCTGATTTTTTCTTCATTTTCTCTAAATTCCCAGCTACAAAAGAACCTGAATGTTTCCTAAAAGGAAACAGCATCATTCCTTCCCCCGCCCTCCAATGAACCAAAAAGCCTTTTGCTTCTGCAATACACACGCCCGTTCATCCACAGCAGCAGTGTGTCCCCTAAGTCCCTGGTGTGCGGGCCTAGGCGCGCACTCCGTGCTGGGAGCAGAGTCTGCTGGAGAGCAGCCTGGCGGCAGGCTTTTCCCAGAGACATGCTACCAACACCTGACACTGAACTTGGTCCCGGGTCTTTGTTGCGAATTCAGGGCTAAAACCACAGAACAAGATGCTCCCACTCTGAGACTTTGGCTAGCTTACTGTCTCTCCATCATCCTTTTGAAGATCTGAGTTTGAAAGGAGTGAACAACTGCTGTCCTCACCAGGGTGAGAAAGCGGGGAGGAAGAAAGTGCAAAGGCCACCTGGCTGTTTTTACTACAAAAGAAGCTTCCGTTTCAAGCTCATCTGTGGTACCTTGCAGGTGTTTAAAACCAGCGTTCGGGACTAGGTTCAGAAGCTTCTAGGAAGAAAGCTGGCAGGCCCTCCTCTTCTAGGAAGAGTCCACGGAATGGCCATTAAAGGGGCCTCTGGTTGGAAGGAGACAGTCCCTTCCTAAGAGGTCTCCCAGGTCAGTGCTCTCGCCTGTGGGATTGGCAGACCCCACCCACGCACAGTAGACAGCCCTGCCGAGTCTGATGAGGGAAAACTACAGGAGGACGCTGGCTGCAGGTTACTACATGGACCCAGCCAGGAAACTGCTGGTCCTGCTTTGCTTAAATGCCACAAAGGGTGCCTTGGAGGTCAGCCTGCAGGTCAGGAGCTGGGAACTGGACTCAAAGAGCTGAAATTAGTTTCTTTTTTCCCAGGAGTCTAGAGATGGAGACTCCTGCTCCTCTGAATAACCCTCTTTCCAGAAACACACCAAGAAGACACTGCCGTTGAGCGCTGCCCTGTCCACGCCGTGTGCTCCGCCCCTGCTGCCTGGGCTTACCCTCACCCTGGCTTTGTGGCTAGTCCAGTAGGCATGTTATAGGCTCTGGCCTGTTTGACCTTGTCTTCTCCCTTGTATAGTATTTTGAAACTGGGACCACACATTTCAGAGTGGAAGTTGCTCCCTAGAAAATGAAAGGGTCAAGAAAGCACTCAAGACAAAGGTTCTGTCACCGCGTCATGGGGGAGAAAGCACAAGAGACCGTGAAATCCCAGGTGAGTGCCTAAAGACCCAGCAATTTCTCTGGGCCCGAGGTCCGACTTTCAATCTAATTCCAACACAAGTTGAAGTGATTTATGTCTCACTTTTTCTCACCGCATGCTGACAGTCCTCTCAGAAGTGCACAGGCGACATGAAGGAAGAAATCGGCACTGAAACCAAACAGGCATCAGAGAGGCAAAACCCGCCAGCTTGTGCCCACACACGCACGAGAGGTACTTACAGTCCAAGTGACTGTGCCGGATGCCCTCCACGTCCTCCGCGTGGATGAAGTGGTAGCATCTCTTCCCCACAATATCTACAGGGGTCAGATCCATGTAATCACTGATCCTACAAGAAGAACAACAGACTGGAATTCAGAAGGGGAGGAAATACAGAAACTGTCAGATGTCTTAGAAACAAACCTACTGGCGATTTTCATTATCCCAGGGTACCTGGGAGGATTTGGCACTTTGAGGGAAAACTCTTTATACATTAGGTTATTTCTTTAATGAATAACATTTTCTAAACTAGAAAATGTGCTAGATCAAGCAATTGTGTTTAAATAATTAGATAGGTTCTTTCTTTCTTTCTTTCTTTCTTTCTTTCTTTCTTTCTTTCTTTCTTTCTTTCTCTCTCTCTCTTTCTTTCTTTCTTTCTTTCTTTCTTTCTTTCTTTCTTTCTTTCTTTCTTTCTTTCTTCTTCTTTCTTTCTTTTTTGCATCAGAATGCACATTTAGACAACATAATTCCATGAAATTATTGAGAATCAGGAACAATGAAAGATTCTCATTAGAAGCCAAGATAATTCAAGGTTACATAATAAAATAAAAACATGTTATGTTTATACCAAATGATTAGAGACACCTTTCATTTAAACAGATTGGTCTTCTATTGGGTATTTCCATGCAAAAGGGCTTCAACTGCTTTTTGGCACAAAGTGCAAATTGGCATTTCAAGGGCTAGAATTTAAATGCCGAGACATACAGATGCCTGGGGGTATTATCTTTTTTAGTCTTAGTCATCTGGGAACTCGGCTTTCGCTCCTGGCCCTTTTAACTGGTACTTTGTGGTGGAGTCCACACAGAAACTTTAAACCATTTGAGCGGCTCTGCCAGCCTTGTGCTCGGCATTACGTGTGTGTAAGCCCGTGCCATTGATTGCCCAGACGCCCGTGTCCTCGGGCAGGAGCGCAGGAAAAGAGCACAGAATTGGAAAACATGTTGGGAGAATCTGCCTGGTTTACACAAACACGTCAAAATGCTTATTATCCTCCTCCCTTCCCAAGCGTAGACTCATTCTGGTCAGTCTAAAATAAAATACGTCTTTTGTTTAATTTATTCTCTTTAATGTCCCTGCGTGTTTTGTGGTCTGTGACTTATAATGTATTCAAATACGAAGTGAGTCTTTAGAAATGACATGTTTAAGAAACTCATGAGATCACTGCTGGGGAGTTAACTCTGACTCCCAAGGCAGGGAAATAAGAAATAAAACAAAAACAGGATAATATGGAGTATAATTAAAACATACTACACAGTGAGTGAATGTCTCAATGTCTAGCAATATAAATCATATTTGGCAAACCTAGAATTCTTGGCAAGATAAGACTAAATGGGGTGATAAAAAGGAGTATTTCCTCAGGATTCCTCTGTTTTCTGGTGCAAAACAGATTAGTCGGTGTTTTCCTGAAACCATTAGCTGCTTCCCCGCACTCTTTACACCCCCTTTCTGCAAATGAGGGAACAAGGATGTCATTAAAAGGCCCTCATTGGTGTTTCTGAAGTTTGCCAGCTCCTCTGAAAGCATTAGATGTCAGCTTTGCCGGAGGCTGTCCCGGGGAACCCTGGGGAACGGGGGCTGAGGGGCAGCGGGGATGGTCTGTAGAGTCAGGGATTGGCTTTAGTTTCTAGTTAGCAATTCCCTGATTAAACAACAAACCCAGGAAAAAATCCACTTCATTCTTTAGGGAAGACATTTCTTTAGCTTATTTTTTATTTGAATGAAATCCTTCCAAACAATAGAACCACTTCTTGGTACCAGAGCCTGTTACTGAGGTGAATGTGACCAGCTCGGTGTTCAGCGACCTCTTCCTATATGTAGTGGAAGCCCAGGACAGTCTGATGACCTCTATGAGAACCAGATCCCCCTGGCATCTTGTACTCTGAGCCTCAGTTCCCTCATCTGTAAAATAGCTAAGAGGCTGGTGAGGGGTTGAATGAATGAAATGAACATAGCATTGCACCGGACACACATTTGCATCAGAATACAAGATGCAATAGCAGAAGGCAGCTGTCTGTACGCTTCTCCCGTAGGTCAAATATACAATTACCTCCACATAGGTCTTTTTAATAATTACTATCATCTTCAGTTAGGAAATAATGCTGTATTGTATTGGCTAATAAGGGGTTGTAGAAAACTTTATTTAAATGGGAATAAAAAATAGCTTAAAGTGGTTACAGAATGTAATCTCAATTACTAGAGTGGCACCATAAGGCACTTGGTTCTGTGGAGCATGTCAAAAGAATTAGTCTGTGATCTCATGAAAATTAAGTGCTAGTTTTGGGATAGGACAATCACTGGGTAAATGTTAGGGAAATAAGACAAGACTCCCCACCCCTCACCCCCACCCCCCTTTTTTTTAGGGATTGGTGTTGGTAACCTAAATCAAGGGAGCTGACCTATGTTTTCAAAGAAGCAATACCATAGCTCATCCTTTGACTTTCTGCCTCCTGGGTCTCCAGCATTCTACATTTTAAACCAGGATAAATAGCTCTATGGGCTGCGGCTGTTTTTCGTGGGTGCACATGTGTGAAAGGTCCACCTAGGCAGTTATTATGACCAGTTCCTTACCATCTGTCCTGACTTCTGAGGAAAAATAAGAGACAGGGAATGCAGGGAGGCCCCACAGGATGTTGCTAAGTGAGAGGTTTCTGAATCCGTCAGATTTGGGTTTAAATCTTGGCCTCAGGTAAATCACTTAATCTCTCTCTTTCACCTGAAATCACCTGAGGGGGATTGAGACAATGGCAAGACCTGCCTCACAGAACTGTCCAGAAACTCGAGTTAGATGGTGCATACAGGGTGGGGCAAAAGTAGGCTTACAGTTGTTCAGATGGAAAATAATACAGTAATTATTAAATAATAATACAAGAATAAACTGTGTTTCATGTACTCACAACTATAAACCTACTTTTGCCCCACCCTTGTAATGAGCTCTGCACATTGCCAAGTGTGTAGTAAGTGTTCAATCAATGTTAGTCATCTTTATTATTACTTGCCAACTCTAGGCAATCATTTGGCTAAATGTCCTTCCTGATTTCCTGTGGCCATTCCAGAATACCTTAGATATAGCCAACTATACAGTCAAGATGATACAATTTTTACTAAATGCCACCAAAAGCTTAAAAAAATAGATTTAGAGTTACTTATTAAATAATAGCGCCAGTTTTGTGATATCTTCTACCCCACCGAAGATTAAGAGGCAGGCAGGTATGTCTCCCATTGGTGAATTCTTTTCTCTGAATCAAATCCTGACAGGAAATGGTAGGCATTTCTAACTCAGCCGCAACACCTTTCACTTCCCAACTGACTGAACGCAATGCTGTCTGCCTGCCTCTTGGCTCGGCCATGAGGAGGTCAATTACCAAGCCACTTGGCCGTTCTGCTTTTTCATTTTTCCTCCTAGGCACTCACAGGGCTCAGTGAGCATATACTGTATCCATGGCTGACAACACCGAGCCACAAAAGCAACTTCTCAAAACTGACTGTAATTCTTCCCATAGCACGGGGGAGGGACAGCATCACCACAGCCCCCTCAGCAGCCCTGCACTGCTCCGTTCCCTGCTCCCCACATCCCATCAACCTCTCCTCTTTACATTAGTCTGAGGGCTGGTGACTTCTAGGTGAAAGGTCTGAAGGGGCATTGTCCCATTTCCTTGTCCCTCACTTTGTGCTTAATGGAAAAAGTGAACTTTTAGCCAAAGGCCAAGAAGTCCTTTTATAAAAGCTCAATCCTGAGGAAGGACTGGCAAGTTATTCACACAATGAGTCATCTTATTTTTTAATTAATGAAAGTGAGAATTACAAATTTTATTTAATACATGTGTAGAAAGCCCAGACCAGTCTGATGACCTATATCAGGTTCAATATCTTGGTCCTTTTTTTCCTCTAGAGGGCTCTGATTCTCATTGGTTCTGTATATGTGCTGTGTGGACTAAACGTTTGTGTCCCCCCCCCACCCCAAATTCATATATTACAGCCCTTCCCCTCAATGTGATGGTATTAGGAGGTAGGACCTTTGGTTTAGATGAGGTTTAGATGAGTTCATGGGGATAGAGCCCCTGCGATGGAATTTGAGTCCTTATACAGAGAAGAGCCCACAGCTCTGTCTCCCTGCGTGAGGACAGCAGAAGGCAGCCGTTTGTAAGCCAGGAAGAGGGCTCTCACCAGGAATCTAAGCAGCCTGCACCTGGACCTTGGCCTTCCCAGCCTCCAGATCTGTGAGAAATACCTGTCTGTTGTTCAGGCTGCCGGGCTATGGTGATTTGTTATAGCAGCCTGAGCTGATTAAGGCACCGCGCTAATGCCTGCCTGTGTGAACACTGACCATCACGAGGCTGGGCCCTGCAGGAGTCAGGAAGAGGGTCTGGCTGAGGCATCACTCCTAAGCACCCTTTCCTGCATCATTTTCCCAATAATGTCTCAGTCTTGCTCTCTCCTTGGATTTTTTGGGCAAAATGGGCCTTATAGCACATGGATGTCTGGGTATCCCAATTCATCCAATAATGTCTCAGTCTTGCTCTCTCCTTGGATTTTTTTGGGCAAAATGGGCCTTACTTATAGCACATGGATGTCTGGGTATCCCAATTCATTCCATTGTTATCCCTAATGCAAATCAGGGCAGCAATGGAAATTTAAAATAAAAATCATGTTTGGTGTCAGTCCAAGCATCCATTAGAAATAAGATCAGGATTTATAATGAGCCTCATTGGGAGAGTAAAATCCTGCAGCCTGCTGAAAACACCAACCCTCACCCATGTGCAACATACAGCAGGGCAAACGGAAACAAAAACCAAGTACCTATTTTCACAGTAAATGATATTGAGGTCCATATTTACTCGAGTGACGAACATATGGCAGTCGATTCTGACTTCATTGATTGTAGGGGGAGGCAAGGCATGCGCCACGACCACAAGACCCATGATCTGGCTGGGGATGGTCCTCCCGTGGGACAGCGACACCCGCAGTCGTAGCCGACCTGTTATGTGGATCACCTGTAACAGAACAGCGAGTACAGGACACAGTCATGTTTACAGCTGGGACGTAACAGTGTTTCTTTTGAGAGAAATGCAAAATTACATCTGGCACAGCCAATATTAGCTTGTACCTTTTGTAATCATAATGGCTGTCGAAGTGCCTTCTGTGTCCTCAAGGCAGGCGACAATAGAGAAATATTATACTCTGAGCATGTCCCAACGCAGCATTATTATTATGCTATGCTGTTGCTATTTTTCAGGCACTTTTTTTTTTTTACATTTAGAGGAAGTTCGTAAACCAGCTAAAATGACCAGAAAGTTGAGCACTGAGCTGTGAAGGAGGAGACATTTGCATGACCAGCCCTTGTTAATGGATGGTGTCTGTTTCTCTCCAAATCCACACCGAGTGGGATTACGTGGCCAACTCCTTTCAGAAGTGTGGCTCAGCTTTCCTTCATTTGGGGTTGATATCGCAAAAGGCCAAAGACTCCATGAATGAAAGACTCAGTGGGGATGACATGAATGCACCCCTTTGTGCACAGATATTCAGAGGTAACATTGAATAACCAGTAACACTGCAATTTGCTGCCGTGCCCATAAGGTTGGAGGTCGGAAGATTCGGTCCTTCTTTCCTTCCTTGTTTCTCGACCTCCTCCTGATGAAGGGTTAGGAAGACTCCCACCAATTAGGGGGCTCCTTTTGGTCACTGATGCAGAAACAGGAAGGAGAATGTTGGGCTATGATTTGCAGTTTGTTAGCCCAAATACACACCAGGTAGCCCAGGCCACTAGAACCAAACAGAAGGCATCTCTTGAAAAAGTTCCTTTGCTTATAAACTGTATGTAGAAGAGCCACAATGTTAACTTCATTAATTACGTTTTGGGGAAACAAAATCATGAAAGGATGGAAAGTGGGAAGGATTTATGTGGCTGTGCTTTGGAATGATAGAAGTTGGGTGTGTGTGTGGAGGAGGTGAAGACTCTGTGTGCGTGCGTATGCGTGCGTGTGTGTGTGCGCTAGCTGTGTCCCTAGGACTCTGCTGCAGTGTGCAGTGTGGCCTTCTAGAGCCAGGTCGTAGAGGTCATCGCTGCGATGCACTGGACCCTGTGTGTGTGTGTGTGTGTGTGTGTGCGCGCGTGCGCTAGCTGTGTCCCTAGGACTCTGCCGCAGTGTGCAGTGTGGCCTTCTAGAGCCAGGTGGTGGAGGTCATCGCTGCGATGCACTGGACCTGGAGCTCAGGGCAGCGGCTAACCAAGCTTCACAGTTGGCTTGCCAAGTGCATCCCTTTTGAGATTTTCCTTTTCCCTCTTGGCCATAAGGAACCGAGGTGGGAAGCGGTCTCTGGCCTCCCAGGAGCACTAAGATCTAGTGTCTGCTCTCCTTCCCAGGGGCTTGACTGGTAATTCCTTTCTCATTTTGTTTTTGTTTCCCTTAAGTTATTCAGTTTCCCAAAGTCAGCCACACAGCTGTCAGCCAGGGGCAGGATCAAAGCTTCCGGCTGCCCTGCGAGTCCTGGCTGCTCTGCACCCTCCCTCTTCCCTGTCCCCCTTCACGTTGCACCCAGAGCCGCCCATCTGGAAACGCCAATGAGGAGGATTATTTAGGTTATTTCAGGAGCAGTTTTTCGACCACCCGCATTTGAAGTTAACTAAATTCATACTTAATGCACCTTTGCTTTAAGCTTTGGTCGGACGAGCTACTTTTGAAATACTTGAAAATGTACCTAGAGGCAAGGATGCTAACACACCATCACAGACACATTTTTTTTGGCCAGACCTCATTAACTAATAAAGAAACAGCTAAAAGAAATGGTATTAACTTCACAGGAGGGGTGTCAACAGTTCCTGGTCCTCCTCCCAGCCAGGCTCACATAGATGCTCATTTATCATTATCTGTCTTGCACTATCAGGAACACTCAGCTTGGAAAAACACAGATCTATAAATGCGCAGGAAAACACACACCCAGAAATGATATGCTAAGTAAATCCCTGCTTGGTATTCTATTTGAAAGTGATTTATAGGTGTCTGGGCTAGAAAACATTTTGGGAGACAGACAGGCTACTGGGCTGAGCCGTATGCATGTCAGATCTCCCGGGCCTCCATCTCCAGCTTTGCCGGTGGCCGTCAGGTGTCGCTGGGGATCACAGTTGGGTCCAGTCGCGTCTAGATTTGCCATTTTCTCATTTCATTACCCTGGGCGGGTCAATTCTCTGCATCTGAATTTCATTTTCTGTGAAATGGGCATAATAACTAGTCTGCAGTTATGTTATAAAAACCAAAGGAGATAATGGAGGGGAACACTCTCTAAATTGTAAAGAAGTCTGCAAATTTCACTATGATTCTCTTCGCCTTTAAAAATATCAACTAGATAATAAGGATAAGAAGCAATTATTAATTTAATCTTGACCAAAAGCCTGGTAATGAATTATGAAAGTTTATAACCCTCTAAAATAATAATATTTGGAAGAAAATTTTGGAGGGTCTATTTTAGGTCCTTTTCCCTTCCATTTTTTTAGGTGAGGAAAGAGATTCTGGAAAGTTCATTCCCTGTGTAGAGTTACCTGACTTGGAAATGCCAAAAAAGAGCCTAAATCCGGTTTCTAGGTCTTGTGTGTCATTTCTCCTTTATCCCCGTATACATTTGATGTGCATATTCATATTGAATGGAACATGACAATTTACTGCCTTCGGTAATCTGTATATAAACCTTTAAATAGACTTCACTTATAACCAGAAGCTCAGGTTATTTGAAAAGTCTGAGAAATAGCACAAACTAAGAAGAAGAAAAAGAAAACTAAGAAACTTACTAATGTAGTAATTAAATAGTTGTCAAGAAATGTTGAAGAACAATGAGAGGGTGGGTTTGTTCATATGCGCATCTGGGGGTGAGGGAGGATGGGACTGAGTATGTTAGGTCACATAATTAGCCTTTTGGTCTTAAATTGATATGTTTTTCCAAATCTATTTCATGATGCCAACAGTTCGCCTCCCGCCCCATGTGACAGGTTATGTTCAAATTGTAGAAACATGTGTGACAGCATCTATCCAAACATGTAGACTGTTGTTTCACTTGGCAGTTGTGTTTAAGGCAGGAGATGCAGAGGAAGGCGTCTGGGTTCCAGCCCTGGCTCTGACACCGCACAGCCACGCAGCTGCGATGCTCAGAGCACTGCAATGACTTGCTTCATTCCCAGGCTGGTGTAGTAGAGATTAAAACCTAGTCCCATGAAGAGGATAAGTATTCCATTAAGGTGTTCATTGTTTTCATAATAAGATCAGCAAAGGGCATTTATTTTATTTTATTTTTAAGTTTCTAAAACATATTATGTACAAAGGCTCTTGCTATGTGCCAGGGAATAGACCAAGATGAATCAAATGTAAACCTTTCCTCAAAGAGTGTATGGACTACAAAGTGGAGTAGACGTATGTAATCACCTGGGAGATGACACAGTGACTGAGCGAGAGAGTAGTTCTCCATCCTGGTTATGTGGCAGAATCACCTGTGAAGCTTTGCTAACATGAAGGTTCCTGGGCTCTATCCCCCAGGGATTCAAGTTTGTTGGGACTGGGCTGGAGTCCAGCATTTGTTTTAAAGCTCCAAATGTGATACGTCCTACTGGAGAATAGGTGGCTAATGGGTTTGGAGTTACACCAGTGGTTCTCAATCTGCCACACAGTGGAATCACCAGGGAGTCTTAAAAGTCCCCATGTTCAACTGTACCCAAAACCAATTAAACAGGGACCTCTGGGGTAGAGGCCCTTTAGGTCTTATAGGGCTGCTGAGAGGATTCAATGAAAATGTATATAAAGTTCTCATGTATATATATGCCTGATACACAATATATGCTCAACAAGTACTATTTTATTAAGTAACAAGTATGCTCCATAAGAAAGGTAAAGGATAAGGTCTTTGGAAATTCAGGGTAGCCAGTAATACTTTTGCCTGAATGGATCAGGAAGTATATGTGAAACTGGCATTTGAGTACATTGTTGACATAAGATATGGTCATAGAATGGTGAAAGGGGTTTTCAGATTGAGAGAAGAGCTAGAGCAAAAGAATATAAAAGGGAACGTATTGGCACAGGTGCAGTGGGTGTCAACAGGTAACGAGACAGGGATGGGCCCAAATGGCAGGTACGTGTAAAGCAGTAGAGACTGGCAATGGGAGCTGGTGAGAAGAGCTGGCACCATGATTACTGTCTCCTAGCATCAGGATGATGACGATGATGATGATGATGATAGACAGAATGGTAATGATAGACAGAATGGTACTACCAGTGTGTGGGTATGAGCAGTGTGGAGACAAAGATTTCCCTGTGGACCTTGTGTATTTGAGCCTGGGGTGGGGTGGGGGGTCCTAGACAACGTGTCCAGGGGATAGTTGGAAAAAGGAGCTGCATACTTAAGAAATGATAGTTGAAAGTACAATTTTGGATTCTTTTTTTTTTCTGGAGGTGATAGTTAAAACCAGGGAATTCAGTGGAATTACTAATGAAGAAAACAGATGAGAGAATACTAAAGGCACTTCCCCTACTGTAAGTACCCGAAGCCCAAGGCAACTTATGTTTTCCTCTAAGTTAAGGTTCTCTTGCTCTATAATTACTTTTGTAAGAAATACAAACATTTCTCAAAGCTCTAAAGTTCCCTTTTCTCCATCCACAATTCCATTCTGATATAAATGCCAAGCTTGTTGCCCGTCTCAGTGGCAACATCCCAAAGAATGGGATGGCTTCCTTATCAAGTCCCCCGTGCACGAATTTCGTGCACCGGGCCCCTAGTTCTGATATAAATGCCAAGCTTGTTGCCCATCCCAGTGGTAACATCCCAAAGAATGGGATGGCTTCCTTATCAAGTTCAGTGAGTGAATGGAAAATGATTTTGAATGTAAATGTATAAGCCCAAATACACATATCCTCTTATGTGAAGAGCCATTAAAACTATACAAATAACATAGCAGCTTTAAAATGAAAGGAGGATTGTGGAGTGGAAATAACACTGAATTGGGAAACATTTGCTT